TCAAATTACTGTTGCTTAGGAATAGTCTATTTTGTAATTTCCGTCTCCAACTTTTACCAAATGTGTACAATTCTCTAAGATTAGGGTAATTATATGTGGACTTCACTTTTACAACTCAGGAGGAAAGCTTTGAGTCGTTATCCTGATAGAAGTAGGTCTTTATACAAAATTATACGTAATTCTTTAACTCTTGCTTCGACCTAAGTCGGATGTCGTGTTTGTACATGTTCTATTAATTGAGGTGGACCATTTACAACCCCTAGAGGACACCATACAACACCAGATCCACTATTCATACAACACCGGGCCTTACAGTCGGTAAATTTTGTTCCATACTTTTCCGGGAGTCGTACAAATTTAATTTTGACTGTTATAATCAAAGGTGTTGAATACATACTAACAAATTGAACTGGAAAACTGATTTTCCAAACTTAGAATCTTTCAATAAGTTATCGTAACCTGGAATCATAAGTGCAATAATATAGGTGACTCGAAAATCTTACAACTATTGAGTAAGGTTAACGGCCAATTATTAAGCGTTAGTGATAAAAAGGTTAAAACCCCTTCGGGGAAAAAGCACTTTCAAGAAGTCACCCCTTGTGATTACAATTATAGTTTGGATGATGACCATCGTAACATAGACTGCTACACAGATGGTTCACTTATCAAAGGTAGAGGGAGTGGTGCACGAATCTACACACCAAAATTAGGAATCAGCATCTCCTTCCCTCTTGGTAATAGCACCTCCGTTTTTAGGGGGAAATCTAGGCCATTAATGTGTGTTGTAGAACACTTATGGAAATAAAATTAAAGGAAAAGATATTAGAATTGTTTCTGACAGTCAGGCTAGTCTTAGGTCATTACAAAAAGATCTGTCAACCTCACGACTGGTGGAGGAAACTAGATCTTATCAATAGGATCTCTTCCAGGTTTGAGAAGAAGGTACCCTTATTTGGATACGAGCACATAAAGGACACCATAGCAATGAAGAGGCGGATAGCCTGGCCATAGAAGGTTCTAATACTGCGTTTGTCGGACCACAATCGGTATTCCTCACTCTATGAGCATAGGGAAAGAGAGTATTAATAACTGGGGCATGAAACAATTCCTTAGGGAGTGGAATTTATCCCTCGGACACAGGCAATCAAAAGAGTTTGTTAAGGCGAGCTAACCAGCAGAATCGAAATGGCTATTGTCTATCTCAAGGAAGGGAATTAGGAGGCTGATAGGTATCCTGACGGGCCACTGCCCACTGAGAAGATAGTCCTTCTAGATAGGGGGATCCTACTAGATCCCTTTTGCCGTTTTTGTGAAATAAAAAAGAAACGGCAAGGCACTACCTCACTGATTATGATAGGTACGCTAGGTCTAGATTTGAAACTTTTGAAGGAGAGGACATCACCAAATCACTCCCCGAGATTAAATGGTCCATAATCTTGGGTTTTGTGAACAAGTCCAAGAGGTTTATGCAGGACACGTGAGCCGACCAAGTCCCGGACCTTTTAAGGATGGGGACAAGTCTACCCAGGCATTAACCCCTCGGGTCTTGGTCGCCCAACTTGCATTACATATATATATATATATATATATATACGCACACACACNTATATATAGGCCCGCGGACACACGCCAATGTCCTGCTCAAACTCGACATGACTCTTGTTGAGTAGATTGATTTCTTTAGGTGGTAGCTAAAAAAGCAGGGATCGTTATAGCGGCCTATAATTTTCCTCAAATCTTACATGCAAGGAGAAAGGGCTTCCTTCGCCCTTAGTGATTGTATTCTTCTTTCTCAGGCCAGTTTTCCGTACAATTTAACCACTCACTCTGGTGCACCTAGTTGTACATAGTTTCTGTCCCGTGGGTGAGAAGGCTGATCTTTTTTCGACAAGTCGTTGAGCCTGTTCATTTTCTTTATACTTTCATATAATTTTGTGTTTTTCTAAAGCCGTTACGAAATCTAGACCCTCCAAGACAAGTTTGGAGTTGAAAGCATACGAATTTATTGCTATTATAGCCTGACTTTCCGACTGTAAATCGGTGCACCTATGATATTTTTCTTTATTAAGTATACACACAGTTGTATTGATGGACCAGCTTGGAATATCGTTTGAGTCAATCCAACTCCATATCAGTTTGCTAACGTATAGTTCTACCCTTTTTTCGTGTTGCTTTTTCGATCCATCTATGCACCATATTAGTGCTCCTTCATGAAACCTGAGATTACCTCTTTTCCAAAGGTGTCTATTTTCTGTGACCACTTGGAAGAGTCTATTAAAGTTGTGTTTTTCTTTCTTTTTGTCAGGTTCAGTTATATCCATTACCCACATTTATTTTAATTCTCTCCAGAAATTTGTGGTGGCTCTTCCTTAGATCTGGCTTTATTTCAATGTATCTCAGGTGTCTGTTGGCACTCGCAAAAGCCACATTTTGTACATGAGTATGTACTTTACTTTGTACCTTGTTCTGTGTTTCCCTGTTCAGTGTTTAACCCATGAAGTTTTAATTTTGAATAGTACGAAGGAGCTCTAGGAGGAGGAGACATTAATTATTTTACTTTTCATGAAATTTTACTGTATAATTTTCACCAATGTACACTTCATTTTTTTTTCATTTTTTCATTTTTAAGTTTTGCTCAATAAATCATAAATAACTGTTCCATATTATGTATATTGGATTACATAATTGTGAATATTTGAGTACATGGAAAGTTTAACATAGTTGAATAAACTTGAGAAAAACATCACGTCAATCTAGATAGAACAGCTTATTGCAAGGAGCGGGAGAACATCATTTCCTTTTTTCCCTGATTAAAGAGTTGGCATTGATCCTTCTTCTCAGTTCTGAAAGAAAAAACTGATTATATCGCGTCGAATTTTCATCACGGTTGGAAAATTATAATCTTTATCGAAATGATTATTTGGAGATGGTGAGATGCGGTCTGGTGCGATGGAAGTTTAGAAAAACATTTTCTTTATCGTGCCAACGTTTCGATCTTTATTGAGATCATCTTCAGGGCCTGGGATTTATTAACATTGTTTAAATTATATAAATCCGTGTATGTGAATATGAATTATACAATGATGTACGTTATATAGAAATTTTAGGTTTAATCAAAGTACTCACTCAAAGTGTACGTTTTCTGAGTAGATATGTCACTGTTGTGTGCCCTATTGAGATTGTTAGTGAGATAATAATTATTTTTTGTTTATATACGTTCGATTTTGAAGGAGTAGGGAAGGAAGTTGCGATAGAAATTCATTTTTTCTATGAGGAGTCGGCTTCTTTGAGGTTAAAGCGATCAAGAATATAAAAAAGGGTAATGGTTTGTCGTTCAGGCTTGTAATTAGCCTTTCAGGATTATTATATATGGGATTATTAGGGAAAGGAGAGATAAATTGTTAGGTAATTAAACTATGTAGAATTGCTTGGTGTGTGGAGTGTAATGATTGTTCTATATATTTTGTGTGTTATATGTGGTTCTATGGTTCTATGACAGCAAAACCCAAACAAAATCCTACAGCACTGGCTACCAACCAGTTTGAGCACTTATACAATTTCGATTTCAACAATCCAAAAATATTAAACCCAGAACAAAAACTAAACGTAAATTTTTAGAAATGGTTTACATCAACAGAGATAAACACAGCATCAACGGCAGACACTTTTTCCTGAAAATTGCCTTAAGTTTTTTTAATTTTTTTTTATTATTAATTTATTAGGTTTCGTGGTCCGCTTGACCATATAAATTCTTTTCAATTAATTAATCTTTAATGAAGGTGTAGCTGAGATTTAAAAAAGTCAGTGTCACGAGCGGGATTCGAACCCACGGCCCTCGGCTAAATACATCGCTGCTACACATTTGAAAAATTGCAAAAAAGAAGGGAATATCCAAAAGGTGGGGTTAAGGTGGTAAATTAGTGTCCGAGTGGATCGAAGTCACGATAGCTCAAGCGGTAGAGGAATGGCGCATTTACCCGAAGGTCGTGGGTTCGAATCCCGCATGTGATACTGACTTCTTTATCTCAACCAAAACCTTAATTAAAGATTAATTAATTGAAAAATATTATTAATCCTTCAACCACGGTTTCTTCCTTTCCTACATCAATTTCTTCATCTTTGTAAAAAGCAAATGCACCACTAAAAAGGATATTAAATGGAGGGAGTTTGCTGAAATTTGCTGGTTTCTAGGTTTAGAAATAGTAGACTGAAATCACCTTAGTAAGATTTTCAACTTTGAAAAAAAAATTGTTTTTCCAAGTTCTTGCTACTACAACGCTTATTTCACTAACGTTTACTAGTTTAATATTGATCACATGTTATTGGAAATTCAATGTAGTTTTCAAAGGTCTCAAGGCATTTGTCAAAAACCTTTTACTTTTGGAGTTACCATTGTTTATTTGAAGCAAGGTCGTGAAATCTTAAAAAATCAGAAAAAAAGGAAGAACTCCAAACTGTTAAGATTCGGGCCATAATTAGTTAGTACTTTTTGGTTCCATTTTGAATGTAGAATTTACTGGCAAAGTTCGTAACACGAATAGCCGAACTCCAGGTATAAACAAAAAATATCTCAATAACAATCTCAACACGACACACAACCGTTACCTGTCTAGAAAGAAAACACTTTGAGTGAGTACAAATACTTTGATTGAACATAAAAAATTTATATTGTGTACATCATTGACTTCTGTCACTTCTTAGATGTACAGGCTCTGATGATGAGCTCAATAAAGATCGAAAGGTAACGATATAGAAAATGTTTTTACCATCACACCAGACCGCATCTCACGTTCACCCCTCACCATCCCTAATCGCGTCTCACTATCTCTAAATAATCATTAATTACAGGTCACTAAATACTACATCTTACTGAAGTGATATTTTTTATTGTAGAATTTTTTTTAAAGCATGCTATCTGTTGTGCCTTGACATGTGTCAAGTGAGGTGTGTATTGTATTCGTTATGATAGTTTTAACAAAAGTGTTTATGTGATGTTTCAGACGGAGGTTCAAGAGTTGTGTGGATCCGCAGTCAGCTTAGCTCAGCAACTGACGCACATCGAGATCGAACGTCTCAGCTACATCGGCCCCGAGGAGTTCGTCCAGGCGTTCGCCAAGGACAGCCCGGCCCTCGAGACGAGTTTCAAAGACATGAAACAGACGCGGAATCTCGAATCGTACGTCTCCTGGTTCAACAGGCTCAGCTACTTCGTCGCGACGGAAGTCTGCAAACACGTCAAGAGCAAGAAGCAGCGAGTCCGCATAGTCGAGTTCTGGGTCGAAACTGCGCGAGAATGCTTCAACATAGGCAACTTCAACTCCCTCATGGCTATAATCGCCGGCCTCAACATGTCGCCGGTTTCCAGGCTGAAACGAACGGTAAGTGGATTCTAGGATTGTACATATAACAAACAGGCCCGAATCAAGTCCGTATCGTAAATCGTAATTTTGTTTTTCCCCTTTGTTTTGAGGTTTTTCCTCGGGAAACGAAAAGACACAACCCTTCCCCCCCAACATCAGAGCGCACGTATTGTATTACCAGCCGAGTTAATTTAGAGAAAAATGATCTGTCGTCCGATACAATCTTTCCAAACTCTCCGTGCGAAAAATTTTCAAGATAAAGTTTTCATCGCCAACCTTTCTTGCTACTCTTTTTCCCTAATTGTTCGCTGTTAAATTAAAATTCGTATTTCGATCTAACGAATTTAATTATACTAAAGAGCAATAGACAAACATGTTCATTAGATCGTAATTAACATAAAAAAATGTTTCCTGAGGTAACTATTTTTCTTTCTCCACTCTAAATAAAACATTTATGTTAATTAAAAAATAAATAAATCAAACTCTATTTTACTAATTGGAACACAAATAACCTGTGTTCTATAATAACACGATCACTATTTTTTCTGCGAATCTGTATCGATTTTCCTCAATCAAGCATGCATTTGTTATATAATTTGCCTAATTGAACTATAAATTTAAAATTTTCTCTCATCGCCTGCATGCTGGCCGTTGTTAATATTCAGCTATACTGCAAAAAAATGTTCGACATTTTGTTTGCTGTAATACTTAAAGAGGATAAAATTGTCACATATTGATTCCCAACAAAATAACGCCGTATTTTCTTTTCTTTTATTTTATTTTCTCATTTTAAGTTTGAAAAACCTTACTTCACCGTCAATTTGGTTTCCGCTCATTTAACTCCACAATAAAACAGGTACAAGTTGTGGGCTATCCTCTCTCGAACTGAAACAATGGGGGTATTAACGATTTTTTTGTTAATCCTGTTAACTCTGTTAGGTCGTGTTAGATCGAGTAAAATGATGACGTAGACTTGTAAGAATCGGTCAGTTAACATTGCTCGATCTAAAAGGCCACAGCCAATGTTAGGTGTTAAGCCGAAAATGTAGTCACATTGCTATCCGTTAGGGCATAGGTAACCAACATGGCAGCCATGAATTGAACAGCTGTTTTTAGTTTACATGTATTTTTATTCTTAAATACGCATTAATTGAATCAGACCAATACATTTCTTTTGTTAATTTCTGTCCTGTCCTTATACTTTCATTCATAATAGATACATCCCCTATCCTATAAAGTTGTAGGCTGTTTAACATTAGGATCCAACTTAGGTTATGTCGGCACGAATTGAAGCGTGTCATTTGTTAGTATTTTCGAATGCATAGATAGCATTTTGCATGAAAGAGTTAATTTTCCTTTTTGATTAACTGCTGGCATCGTACAATTTAACACAAAAGAAAACCAAAACAACAAGCCTTCAAGGACTATTATAGCTTTATTTTTGGTTCTACCAATCGCCACGCGCAGCATTGAGGAAAAATTAACATTTAACATGCCAAGAAAAGAAGGGGGCATTCACGATCGTGCTGGACATTTTTCTATTCTAGTTAATACGAGTTAGCATCTTCCAATACCCCTCGTGAATACGCCTCAATCGGTCGGGTATCTTTCTCAATGTGGTTCAAATGTTAGATCAGGTCACCCAGGTTTATCTGGGTCTCAAACGGTATCTTTTCACCTAATGTTCAATTCTAACATTTCTCATCGCACAGGAGAATGTCTTTTTTTCTTATATTCTCATTAATGCGGGTTACCCAGGGCAGCATCTTAAGGCTTTTCCTATTCACAATATAAACCCCATATTATATGCTTTTTTGTTGTCGACGCATCCAACTCCGTTTAAACCTTTTATATACTTCGCCCCGCAATCGGAAATTATTGAAACTAAATCCACCAGCATTTTCTTTACTTTCCAATAATCCTACAATCTATTACTGTGCAAGACCGATACCAACCACCTTTATTTGATGCTTGATAAAATACAAAAGTATGCGTCGACAAAAATATAACGTGGAATCCTCATACACGATAGAAATAAACAAATCTAACTGGCATTATAAATTATTATTTAACATTTTTCATCAACCGTACCATCGAGTTGTGAACATCATCGCATCCTCCCTTGATAAGAAAGAACGCAGCTCGGGAATCTTCTCGATGTCGAACATGCTTTCGATCGTGTCTGGCACCTGGGTTTGCTCTTGAAACTCAGTCATACCGTCTACCTACCGTCCCATCCTTCAATCCTACCAGAGGGCCAACAGGTGCTTTAGAGAATGGGTCGTATCCTCATACACTCCATTGCACAGCGAAATTGTTCAGGGTAGCTAATTGACTCTGTAAATACTGCTAATTAAAATTTTCCCATCCGGACACCATCATGATGAAACTGTCATTCTGTCCTCTAACTTCAACCCCGTCGGGGCTAACCAAACACTCAAGACAGATCTATATTCCATGGAACAATGTCCAAAACGTAAAAATGTGTTTACTTCATCGTTCCTAGTATCTATATTCATTATTCATCATTTATTCAATATGGGAGGATTTATACGGCCATACAAGTATGGTGAAAGTTTAAGTAGTAACGAACATCGAGTCTTCGATGGACGTCGTCCCTAATTTTTTTATGGCATTTCATGAATAGTTTTACTTGGACTACCAATGTTTAAATCGGTGGATAGACACACCCACAATCCTGCTTGACCACCTCGTTTACTTTTTTTCTCATAAAGTTCATAAATAGGAATTACTAGGGATTTACAGAGGATGAACGGCTTGAATGGAAGAAAAGATGGGATATGTGACTATTAAAGCAGAAGGCAATTTGAAGCTTTTCTTTCATTTCAATCTTCTAGATTATTAAATTCACTAATTTCGTGGTCCGCTTGACCAATTAATATACTACAATTAATTAACGTTTTTAGTTGAGATAAAAAGTCAATGGCACGAGCGGGATTTGAACCCATGATTTTCGGCTAGATACGCTGCTGCTCTACCACTTGAGCTATCGTGACCTCGATCCACTCGGACACTAACTTCCCATCTCAACCCCACCTTTTGAATTTTCCCTCCTTTTTGCCATTCTGTCCTCTAACTCAGACCCCGTCGAGAATCCAATCCGATTACACGACATTTGAAAAATGGCAAAAAGGAGGGAAAATTCAAAAGGTGGGGTTGAGATGGGAAGTTAGTGTCCGAGTGGATCGAGGTCACGATAGCTCAAGTGGTAGAGTAGCGGCGTATCTAGCCGAAGATCGTGGGTTCGAATCCCGCACGTGACAATAACTTTTTTATCTCAACTAAAAACCTTAATCTTCTAGATTATACAATTTTCGTTATTTGACGTTTGTAGTTGATCTACAACTTGGTTTTTATTTATTTATTTTTATATGCAGTTTTAGTTCCTTAAATTTTTCAACTCCGAGAAAGCCAACCCAAGCCTAGTTAAAAGAAAAGTAATAAGAGAATAGTTAAAAGAAAAAGACAAAAAGACCGAAACCCTTTACTATTTAGACTTGGTCTTGGGTTCGAAACCCAACGTAGCACCAATAATTTTCTATCAGCTCACCTTCCCCTATATAAATAAAACAATCTACACAAGTTGCATTCTTTGGCTAATATGAATAACATAAGGCTATTAAAAGAATTATATAAAATAACGTGGGCACTTTCAACACAACACACAAGAATTACAAAATTACGCAGAAAACAAACACTTTGAGCCCTGAAGATGGTCTCAATAAAGATCGAAACGTTGGCACGATAAAGAAAATGTTTTTCTAAAACCTCCGTCACACCAGACCGCATCTCACGATCTCCGAATAATCATATAAGAAATAACATTATGTTTTCATTATTTTTTTTTTTTAAAGATTATATGGAACGAGAAAGAGGGTTGTAGTTGAAAAATGTTATAGCATGTATATCTGAGGTAGAATTTTTTTTAATAAAACCAACAACCTTACAAAACCATGGTTACAATTTAACTTTTTTTTTATATCATGCTTTGTTGATAATTAAAGTGGCTGGTCCGTATGAAAAAAAGCCCGGTACACCTTAAAAACATAATAATTTTTTTTTAAATTTATTTCCTTCATGTGATGCGTAAATTCATGTGATGTAACCCGATAGATACCTAGAAAATCTAAGAACTATTTCTACTATATGTGTGGAATTGGCTTTAGAAAAGCTTTTGACTTGATTATTTTTTTACAATGCAATAATTTAATTTAATTTAAAATGCGTATTGTTTTTATTGTCGGAAAATGGCGATTCAATAATACATATACGGAAATTGTTTAAAATCTGAGAAGAAAAATCACGTGGGCGTGTTTTTGTTTGGAAATGAATATGAAATAAAGCAAAATTCAATTTAGTTGCTTTCAGTTCTCAGATTTCGAATATTTACGAATTTTTAATGGAAATCTGGAAAAATAATGTTTAATTGGCAAAAAGCTGTTCAACCCGATATGTTAATGTCTTTGGGTTTATATAACTTCTATATATTTACCCGTGTGAATACAGCAAAAAAAAACTTTGGAATAAGGAGAGAAAGAAAGGATGTAATATGCTCCAAAACTTTACTATTGTATGATGAAAAAAGGATAGAAAGAATTTTCCAATATCGTATTTTCCCCGAGACCATCTACCACTCGGTTTGACTTTCGACAAGGTTAAAACACGGTTCGGCATAGTCGTTGTTGACCGCTCTTGCTCCTTGGGCCATTATTGCTCAGCGATGAGGTTATACCGTTCCCGGCTACTGCATTATTCAGCATAGGCCGGTCATAAAAGGAGGCGGTGATAGAATACAAGAGCTGTTTCGCCCTGCTTACCCTCTCGGTGAATCATTTCATCATCCTAAAGTAAATTAACGACTCACGCGTTTAATTAACAAGCTTTTCCCTCTTACGGTTGAAGAGAGATTATTTAGCTTAAGAGAGAAAAGAATCTCACTGAAGACAATTCCATCACACCTCAAACCTACTTTGTATTATTTTACTATTTTCGCGATA